GCTGGATGATGTGTGTGTGTGTGTGTGTGCTGGATGATGGGTGTGTGAGTGCTGGATGATGTGTGTGTGTGTGTGTTGGATGATGATGTGTGTGTGTGTGTGTGCTGGATGATGATGTGTGTGTGTGTGCTGGATGATGGGTGTGTGTGTGAGTGCTGGATGATGTGTGTGTGAGTGCTGGATGATGGGTGTGTGAGTGCTGGATGATGTGTGTGTGAGTGCTGGATGATGGGTGTGTGAGTGTATGTGTGCTGGATGATGGGGAGGGGAAGCATTTTTTTTTTACTTTATGTGTATGTATAGTTTTTTATTTTATTCCCCCCTCCCTGCTTCTTACCTTGTCAGGGAGGGGGGAGATCGCCTGGTGGTCCGGTGGAGGGAGCCAGCTGCTGCACACAGGGGCCATCACACGCTGTGTTCCTTCTCCAGCTCTAACTCTCGCGAGACTCGCCTGTGCGGAGCGTCGCCATGGTAACAGCCGCGGGTCTCGCGAGAGTTAGAGCTGGAGGGAGAACACAGCGTGTGATGGCCCCTCTGTGCAGGTAGCAGGGCCGGTCCTGCAGGACAGGTAACGGGAACGGCGTTCCTGCTATGGAAAAAGTGCAGGAACGCCGTTCCCATGCGTTCCTGCAGGACTCGAGCCCTGGGCAATACCCTTGATCTTATTTTCTCTCATGAATGTACAATCTCTAATCACTGCAACACTCCATTTCCTCTCTCAGATCACCACTCCTTATAATTTGCTCTCAATAGCCCCTCACCCCATCATCCTCAACCTAACCTAACTACAAATTCATGTTGCATTCCTACAGCACAACCCTGGCCAAACAGTCATACTTTTCCTCCCTCATTTGCTCATGCTCCCCAATCCCAGGTGTCTTTTTAATACCTTTGATTCCCTTCTTTGCCCTGATGTTACCATCCCCCAAACTAACCTTACAGCTGATAGCTTTGCATGCTACTTTATCGACAAGATTATCTCACCTAATCAGATCTCTGTCCTCTTGTCTTGTGCCTTCTTTAACACACATCTTCAACTGCTCACTCTCTCTTCCGGTGTTGTCCCTGCTGCCCTTAACCATGATACTGTAGTACCCATCTTAAAAAGAAAAAAATCTCTTGACCCGTCCTCCCCTTCTAACTATCGTCCCATATCCCTGCTCCATTTTTCCTCAAAGCTTCTGATCTTTACCCGTCTGACTTGTTTTCTCAATTCCAACTCTCTCCTTGACCCTCTTTAGTCTGGGTTCCGCCCCCTCCACTCTACTGAGACTGCTCTTATTAAAGTCACTATCAACCTAATCACAGCTAAATCCAAAGGGCACTACTCCATACTAATTATTCTTGACCTCTCTGCTGCCTTTAACACTATTGACCATATTCTCCTTCTCCAAACTCTTCAATCACTCGGTCTCTGTGACACTGTCCTCTCTTGGTTTTCCTCCTATCTCTCCCAACACTCATTCAGTGTCTCCTTTTCTAATCAAACCTCCTCCCTTCGTACTGTCTCTGTTGGAGTAATCCAAGGCTTTGTATTTGGTCCCCTTCTATTTTCTCTTTATACTGCCCCTCTTGGCAAACGTATAACCTCATTTGGATCCCAATACCACCTGTACGCTGATGACACTCAGATATGCCTTTCCCCTGCCATCCTGCAACGTGTCACTGCTTGCCTTTCTTCCATCTCTGACTGGTTGTCCTCCCGCTTTTTGAAATTCAATCTCTCTAAAACTGAACTCCTTGTCTTTCCACCTCCCTTCACTCTCCCTTTAAGTTAGCGGTACCCACATCAGTCCATCCTTGCAAGCGTGCGGTCTTGGTATTATACTTGATTCTGGCCTCACATTTGAGCCTCACATCCAGTCTGTTACCAAATCCTGTAGATTCCACCTTGAAAACATAGCCCGCATCCGCCCCTTTCTTACGCAAGATGCTACTAAGGAGCTTGTCCATGCTGTAGTAATCTCTCACATGGATTATTGTAACCCTCCCCTAATAGGTCTTCCCACAAGTCGTATTGCCCTGCTAGAGTCTGCAATAAAAGCTGCCGCCAGACTGATTTTCCTCTCCTGTCGCTCCTCTCACACCTCTCTCCTCTGTCAGTCCTTACATTGGCTTCATGTATTTTATTGAAGTCAGTTCAAGGTGCTAATCCACACCTATAAAGCACTGACCAATTCTAGCCCCTCCTATATCTCTTCACTGATCCACAGGTATGCCCCTTCTCGGTCTCTCCGCTCTGCCCATGAGCTTCTCCTGTCTGCTGCTCGCACCCATACGGCCAACTCACGCTTGCAGGACTTCTCATGGGTGGCTCCTTTCCTTTGGAATAGCTCTCCCCTGGTCTTCAATCACTTAAAAAGTGCCTCAAAAATGATCTCTTTAGGAAAGCCTATGGCCTCGCAGAGTAACCTCTACCTCACAAACCTGGCCCTTTCTCTCTATTCTGTCCTCCAGCTCTGCTTCACTCCACCTTGTTCGATTGCTACCTCCTGTCCTGTTGGGTTTTACGTCCCACCTCCTATAGACTGTAAGCTCATTTTAGCAGGGCCCTCTTCAACCCATTGTTCCTGTAAGTTTTTGTACTTGTCTCATTTATTGTTAAATTTCCCCCTTTGATAAAATTGTGAAGCGCTACGGAATATGCTGGAGCTATATAAATACCAGTAATAATAATAATCTCGTGAAATAATACATTCACAGATCTTGCATATTGTAACTGCAGAAAATGCATTTAAACATTCACCAGTGGGTTAATTTACTAAAGTAAATTTCAGATGTAATGCCCGAGTACCCAAATTATAAGCATAAATTACTTTAAAAAAAGAAGTAAGTATTAAATTCACTTTAAAATCACATTGAAATGAAGTATGACTTTTTATTAGGACAATGTACACTGTTGTTGGTTAAAAAAAATAATTCCCTTGCCATAGGTGAGACCCATGGATGTACTCTCAAGTTTGAATGAATGGCTTGAGTTGGCGCCTTAGCAAATATATAGGAGCAGCTCACTATAGGGCCCATGTTCCAGTGGCGGAACGTGGGTTGTCAGCGCCCGTGGCAAGACAAGTATTGCGCCCACTATCCCATGGACACTGAGCACTTCCTGAGTCCCTTAACAGACCCCTAGATAGTCTTGTTCCACCTTCCCTACCCGTATCGTCTCCATGATGTGTATAGCACAGTTGGTTGCGTTGCATAATTTTTAAAACCCACCTCACATCTAAAGTAATGTGTATAGTCTATACAAGAAAAATGCTGTAAAATGTTACATGGCAACATTTATTTGCCCCATTATGTTGAAAAACCGTGTAAAATGTTCGCACATTTGGAGATTTTCTGTGTTAGGGGGAGGACGTACTATTTTTAAAATTTAATTATGACTTTCTTTGTTTTCCTTTTTAAAAATTTTTTTTAAAATGTTTTGCACCCAGGGCAACTACCTCTGTGGCTCCCACCAAGCACCACACCACTGCTATGTTTATTTTTCAAGCAGGTACACCCACACTCCTCACTTTTAGAAGGCTGGTATATACTGTGTGCAGCTCCAAAGGAGTATCTTAACAGTTGAGCACCCAACTTGTTTGTTAGCCTTCATAGCTGTATTGTCCTTATTTCTCTTACCAGTCTCAATGTAATTATAATCAACTCTTCCCATATTATACAGTGAACAGAAAAACAGAGTGAACAGAAAAAAGCCCACATGAAAATTGCCCACAGAAAATAACCCTACTGTTATAAATGTGCGTAAAAAAAATGCCCACATGGAAAATTGCTTGCACTGAAAATTGCCCACATGGAAAATTGCAGAGCCTATCACATACTTCTGACCCGTTACATATGTTACCATGTCACTTTAATCCAGGGTCGAGTCTTGTAGGAACGCCTGGGAACGGCAATCCTGCACTTTTTTGAGAGCAGGAACGCCGTTCCCCCTGCAGGCACTAACCAGAGGCGGCAAAACATTCCGCCCCAAATGCCCCCCGTGTTGCCCCTGCCATGGGGGAGGCATCCTGATGGACCCCCCGGCGGGCGCCTGTCTACCTATCAGACGCGGCGAGAGAGCTGTGTTCTCCCAGCTCTGCTCCCTCACACGCCATTTGCTTATGCCGGGAGCCATCAGCAAATGGCATCAGTAGCTCCCGGCATCAGTAGAGTGAGCAGAGCTGGGAGAACACAGCTCCCTCACCACGTCTGATTAGGACAGCCGCCTGCTTCACTGCAGCCCCTCTGGACCCCAGAGACCCATCCATGCCAGCTTTCCCAAAAGGTAGGGAGGCTGGGTGGGTGGAAAAATGTTATTTCTAATAATATTAATAATTTGCATAAATGTCTGTTAGTGTGTGTATGTCTGTTAGTGTATATGTGTATTTTAGTGTTTGTGTCAGTGTGTGTGTGTGTGTGTATGTAGGTCAGTGGCAGATCCAGAACCTGATCTTGGGAGGGGCACTTGTAGATTATTTAAAGAATTAATCTAGGCACAATAACCACTACAGCTCAGTGTAGTAGTTATGGTGCCAGGATCCCATCCTAGAGGAAGTAGTCAAACCATTTAAAAACAGTTTGACAACTTCCCTGGGATCTGCTGGGATATAGGGCATAGGAGCAGTGGTATGTGTTAGGGGTGAAGTGTGTGTGAAAGGTGCAGTAAGTGTGTGTGAGGGCAGTGCAGTGTGTGTGTGTGTGTGTGTGAGGGCGGTGCAGTGTGTGTGTGTGTGTGTGTGTGTGTGTGAGGGCGGTGCAGTGTGTATGGGGGGCAGTGTGTATGGGACACACACACACACACACACACACACTCTGCACCTTTCACACATTTCACCCCTAACACATACCATTGCTCCTATGCCCTATATCCCAGCAGATCCCAGGGAAGTTGTCAAACTGTTCTTAAATGGTTTGACTACTTATTCTGGGATGGGATCCTGGCACCATAACTACTACACTGAGCTGTAGTGGTTATTGTGCCTAGATTATTTCTTTAAATAATCTACAAGTATGTGGGGCAGTTTGTGTATGGGGGGCAGTGTTTGTGGGGCAGTGTGTGTAGTGTGTGTATGGGGGGCAGTGTTCATGGGGCAGTGTGTGTATGGGGGGCAGTGGTAACCGCAGCAACGCTCCGTGCTCGCGAGAGTAGGACCCGGAATAGTTGCAGGCTGAGCTCCCGGGTCCTCTCTCCTTCCCCTCCTTCCCCTGCCGGCTGCCAGCATGTTAACTTTTAGCATCCAATATGGGTTCTACATGGGATCTGAATCATCCCATGTAGTAAGATATTGAAAACGATCACTGTTTATTTTTTATGTATCTATTTTTGTATTTATGTATAGTCATGTGACCGCGGTCACATAGTAATGACGTCATTATGGCGCCAATTTTCTAATTTTAAGCCATTTTTGCTGCCTATACAATGTAACAAGCCAGGATTATTTGTCTACACTTGAAAAAGCCTATTTTGCGTTTTTATGATCTTGTTATAATAAAAGTATTTTTAGACTGCCTATATTTCTATGGTCCGTCCTCTTACTTTTATTTTTTGCTATGTTATCCTGGCTGATTTTTTTTATTATTTTAAAAGATCCAGTACTACAAAGAAATCCTAAGGTGGGGATTATTCCACTCAGGCCTGGTTCATAGAGCAGTGTGTCTGCTCTATACACTGTAAGTACGTTTCGTTTTACACTATGGGCCCTCTTTTGTGCTTCTTTCTTTCATAAATCCTGCATTACATACATCACCAGAAGGATATCCTACATGTGGGGAGTTTAAATACCACTGTATGCTGTTTTACTCAGAGCTGGTTATAGCTCTTTTTATTGTAAGTTGGCACTCTTAGGACCTAAGTACTTGTTTGTAGCTGCAGGTGTAGAGAGCCTCAGGCGGCTGCAGCTTTGCCCGGGCTGGTGCGTCCATGAGGGCACACCGCCCGGGTGCAGCATGAGGAGAGGGGGTGACAGGAGGGAAGCGCTCAGCACTCCCTCCTGTCACTCCCTCACTATAGCGTGGCCGAGCACTGTATGGTCCGCGGATACAGGGATCTGTCTCCTGTACCCGGCCGGACTAACACTGAGTGTGCACTTCTTTTTAGTCCGGCCGGGTACAGGAAACAAAAGTTCCCTGTACCCACGGACCATACAGAGCTCGGCCACGCTACAACAGAGGTAGGGGAGGCGGGGAGAAAGAAATTGACAGGGAGGGGGGGGATAAATTGATAGGGGGGGGGGGAGAGAAAGAAATTGACGGGGGGAGGGGAGAAATTGATAGGGGGGGTGGAGAAGAGAGTGACATCCATCACACACACACAATCCCACACAATGCACCCCTTACACACAAAGACAATGCACCCCTTGCACACAGAAAAACACACAATGCATTACACACACAGACACACATACACAAGCAATGCATCCCTTACACACACAGAAACACACAATACATTCCTTACAGACGCACACACTGCATCCCGTACATACACAGAAACACACCTTGCAGCCCTTACACATACAAACACAGATTCACACAATGCATTCCTTACACACATATCAGGACATCCCCTACACACTCCACCCCCTGTGAACATGAAGGTTGTCCCTGGGACCCAGACCTTGAGCTGTGTAAAGGACCCCAAAAAAATGGAGCTGCTTCCCGTTCTCCCAGAACATTGATTTTTGTGAAAACAGTTACAAACCGCCTCCAGAGATCCTGTTCTACACCAGACCAGTGGAGCCAGACTGCAGCTAGAGCCCATCATCATCCTCATCTGGTTGTAAGTAGGCAATCTAGTATATTATTCGTGGCACTAATCTCTAGTCCCCAGAACCACTGCAGCTTAATGTAGTGGCTCTGGTGTCTATAGCCTGTCCCTGCAGGCCTTTTAATGTAAACACAGCGGCACTGCAGCACTGGCGTTAGTTAACATGGCAGGTCATATGGGTGGGGCATTGTGATGTCACATGGGGGGGGGGTGGAAAACTTTACTTTTGCCTAGGGCGGCAAAAGTCCTTGCACCGGCCCTGATCCTACATGTGGGGAGTTTCAAATACCACTGTATGCTATTTTACCTAGAGCTCTATTGATTGTGAGTTGGCATTTCTCTATTTCTGTGTTGTCCGTGACACCATCTCCTAACGGTTTTGCACTATTGGTCCCTCTTTGTTTTTGCTTTTGTTTTTCATATTAACTACTGAGGACCCAGTCAAGAACCAAAGAATACCTACCCAAGGTCCACCTTGTATTTTCAGAGACTCTTTTGTAAATATTATCTCTCATTTGTTCCATTTAGCACATCCTGTATTTTTGTTGTTTCCTGTTCTCCCAGATTTATTGAAGGGTTTGAGGGTTGCCTTTCCCCTCAGGTGTGCAGCTCCATCCACCCCTGTGATTAGTACTGTAGCGCTGTTCCACCCCAATTTCTATTTTTTTCTGTTACGGCTGCCAGCACGGTGCCTGTGGACTGGGGAGGGAGATCTCTGAAGTAATACTTCCGGATATTATTTTTAAACCTTTGCCCCTCTAATTTAAAGGACCACTCTAGGCACCCAGACCACTTCAGCTTAATGAAGTGGTCTGGGTGCCAGGTCCAGCTAGGACATAACTGCTATGTTTATGTTAGGGTTAATCCAGCCCTCAAATCCTCTAGTGGCTGTCTCATTGACAGCCGCTAGAGGCGCTTGCGTGAAAATCACAGTGAGAACACGCAAGTGTCCATAGGAAAGCATTATGAATGCTTTCCTATGAGACCGGCTGAATGCGCGCGCAGCTCTTGCCGCACGTGCGCATTCAGCCGAAAGGGAGGAGAGGAGGCGGAGAGGAGGAGGAGAGCTCCCCGCCCTGGGCTGGAAAAAAGGTAGGTTTTAACCCCTTCCTCTCCCCAGAGCTGGGCGGGAGGGGGGACCCTGAGGGTGGGGGCACCCTCAGGGCACTATAGTGCCTGGAAAACGAGTATGTTTTCCTGGCACTATAGTGGTCCTTTAAGACTATGTCCTCTTGTTGTGGTAGTTTTTGCTGCTTTTAAATATAGACTCCTCCTTTACTGTGTTGATTCCCTTTATGTATTTAAAATGTTTCTATCATATTCCCCTTGTCTTGTCTTTCCTCCAAGCTATACATGTTAATATCCTGTAACCTTTCCTTGTAAGTTTTATTCTGCAATCCATGAACCAGTTTAGTAGCCCTTCTCTGAACTCTCTCTAAAGTTTCAATATCCTTCTGGAGATATGGTCTCCAGTACTGCGTACAATACTCCAAGTGAGGTCTCACCAGTGTTCTGTACAACGGCATGAGCACTTCACTCTTTCTACTGCTAATACCTCTCCCTATACAACCAAGCATTCTGCTAGCATTTCCTGCTGCTCTATTACATTGTCTGCCTACCTTTAAGTCATCAGAAATAATCACTCCTAAATCCCTTTCCTCAGATGTTGAGGTTAGGACTCTATATAAAATATTCTGTACTCTGCCCTTGGGTTTTTACGTCCAAGTTGCATTATCTTGCACTTATCCACATTAAATGTCAGTTGGCACAACTGTAAACATTTTTCTAGTTTACCTAAATCATTTTTCATTTGGCTTATCCTCCTTCAGGGCTAGAGTTCACTCTCGCGAGATCTGAGCGTTGCCGTGGTAACCGTGGCAACGCTCAGACCTCGCAAGAGGAACCCGGAGGAGCTGCTGGCTACAGCTCCCCGGGTCCTCTTCTGCCTCCCTCCCCAGCCAGTAGCCACTTGTAACTGCCTGTGGGCTGGTGATCTCCCCACCGGCCCATGAAGGCAGGGATAGCGCTGGCCCTGCAGGGGCTGTCAGAGGCAGTGGCGTCTCTTGGATTCATTTTTCGGGGGGGCACATGGAGGGCCAGTGACAAAAGTAGGGGGGCACATTTAACCCCGCCCTCGCCGCAGTTTGACCCCGCCCCTGTCGCATGTTAAGCCACGCCCCCAACATAATGTGTTTTGTTTTTTTAATAATACCTGGTGGAGGATTCATTATTTTCCATCAGGGATTATTAAAAAAACAAACACATTATCCTTGATACAGTGCCATAGTTGCCAACATTTGAAAAAAAAATGTCCAAGGACATTTTGCAGCACAGCTATCAATTACTGTCTGGGTATAATATCCCTGGACAGTCAGTGCTCTCTGTATAATACAAGGTTGTGTGTATAATAAATTGGGACACTCAGTGCTCCCTGTATAGTGCTGCTCTCTGTATTATACAGGTCTGTTTGTGTATAATATCCCAAGACAGAGAGCAGCACTATACAGGGAGCACTGACTATCCCGGGATATTATATACACACAGATCTGTATTATACAGATAGCTGAGCATATACCCCAATCTCTAGACTACTAGTACCTGTCAACAGCATCTCCCAGACGCGTGTAACAGGGCTAAAGTGTGCGGCAGCTCACACAGATCATTCAGCGGTAAAGTGCACTCGCTGGCAGAGCCAAACTGGGAATCTCTGGGAATCCAAAGCAGCCCTGGAAAAAAAACGTATGCCATTCCTACAAGTCAAAATATATATATATATATATATATATATTACAGTAAGCACACAAGCTCACTGACATGCGCAAACAGGCTTACTGACAGACAAAACTCTCTGACTCACACACAAGCTTACTACAGACACTCACTTGTATAAACAGAAGGCTCACTACAAAGAAGTTCAGGGGGGGACACACAAGCTCACTAAAGACAAGCTCACTGACACACACATGCTCACTATATAGAAGCTCACTGACACACACAAGCAGTACCATTTTAACAGAGTTAAGGGCCCCTGGGCAAAGCAATACACTGGGGCCCTTC